AACGACACGAAGCCCTAGCATCACCAAGACTTACGACTTGCAATGGTCAACCTAAACGTTTTCCTCGATTTGCAGGATGGCACATCCGCAACACTGCTTGGCCGCTTCAAGAATGTACCCTTTGGAGCACCTAGTCTGGATGGGGCGCTCTTGGGGTGGCTTTCTGTGGTGAGGTAGGGATGAGGTTTGGTTTTGGATGCCGTCTAACAGTGCTCGTTGTGGGCATAACAGAACCCTGCACATATGGTCACTTACTGATACTGTAGCCATCACAAGGACCTGAAACATTTGAGACTCCTTGGCTGGAGAGATTGCGACGGCTCCTGCCATCTATGTATCCGGAGCATTAAGTGGCCACCCGCTGGTGTTGTCATTGCTGCAAGGTCTCAGATTCTCTTCTGAGCAGGGAGTCGCGACCTGCAAGCGAGGTGGATCTTCACAAGAAGTTCTTGGTGGGCGTTGGCCTCCCTCTATTCCACCAGTGGCTTGGTTTGCAGCCTGAAGCCATGGCTCTTGGCAGGGGCACGGCGGAGGGGTTGCTTAGGCGATGAGCTAAACTCGAAGATTATCTCTTTGATTCGCGGTCTTGAATTTCAGGATGCAGCGTCAGCTTGTTTGCAACTGAGGTGGCACATGTTCCTGGCTGTCTACAGCCTCTTCATGTGTGCTGGGACGCTGGCCACCAATCATCGTCAGACTACCAAATGGCCTGTGTACTATAATATTGCTAGATCTGTTGAGAACCAGCAACAAGAGCTCCAGAGCCCAGGGCTTACATCTTCAAACACCGCTGGTCGACATACTTTCACGAACAAATTTTGCAACCGCCGAGGAATGTCCTGACATCCGGTAAATTCCAACGATCTCGAAGCATGCACGCAGTGATGATGCAATGATGTGCTGAAACTCCTCAAGTAATATGACTTCCTAATGTGCTACAAGTTGTGCTGTAATGGCAACGCGCTCGCAAAACGTCCCGCAAATTCCCATGCGCAAGCCACAAGCCCTGCGCGCGTTTTTTGTCGAGTTCTCTCGTCCGAGATCGTCCGCTGCGCAGCAAGGACGGCATGGATCTACTTGGGATCCACGCTCAGTGGGCAGCTGATGCGCACGGGCTTGGACCACGTGAGCCATATCAGCGAGACAGAGGAGACAGCGCCGCGGCACCAGGATGGTAATCGCAAGTGAAGATTAAGAACGAAGCTAATGTGCTGAGGAAAGGAGGTTTGTGATAATGGCGTTGGTAGAAAGACAAAATCAACATTGATGTTTGTTCTGGAGCAAGGATCTGCTTTTTTCAACATACCCACGAAACATGCTGCGAAACATGCCTCTTCAACGGGATCTTCAAGGGGGGGGTTGGTTTGGCGGAACATTGCTTCAAGTGTACCAAGCAACGCACATCCGAAACATTGCAAATGAGCTCTTTTCCATGCTTCTGAGGCCATGGCGCTTTGCGGCCAAAATGCCCAGCAGAACCACTTGGGCTGGGCAGCACAGGAGAAGTGCTACCCTGTTGCTGCCCCTGAATGAGTAGGTGAGCAGGAGGACTGATGGTATTGTGCACGGTCTCAAACTCAATTAAAGGATGAAACCATCAATCAGCATGAGGGGAGCAGACAGATAGAGATAGGGCCATGCAGCAGCCACTCAACATGTCCGTTGGCTCTTCGATGTTAACTGCCGCGGCTTTTAGGACATGTGGCAGGCGGGGATGAGCCGGGGTGCATGTATTCGTTGAGATTCAAGACGGCAAGCTAGCCAATCTGAAGCGCTCGAAAGCTTTTGGATACAAAAAACCATATTACTAATATTATCATTATTATGAAGATTTCTAATATTATTCCTAATATTTCATCAGCACAGTGTGGGCCTTCATCCCCCCCTGCCTAACCTGGAACTACCCTGGACTCCTGCGCCATGGGCAGCTGTGCCAGCCGGCAGCCGAGCAAAGCCGGAGCCAGGCATGGCCAGCATGGCCAGCATAAGCAGTGGCACCCAATGTGGGCAGCCAGGCAGCATTGAAGGAACTCGTTCTGCAAGGCTCCTTGTTTGTTTGGGTGTCGGATATGATGCACCGATACTTAACAATGCCCTGGTCAAAAATGGCGACAGCTGAAAGAACGTGAGTGCGACCATTTCGACAAAGCCTGGTAGATCACAATAACCGGTAATGTGCTCAAGTGCGTTGTGAAGAGTATTGTCAGGGTACAAGATAACGCCAGCACATGAACTTTCAAGACAGAACAGCCTTGCCCTCTGGCAATAGCAGTTGTGCAATCCAAGTTGAGTTGGCATTATTATGCTCTAAACGTCTTGATGACCACCATTGAAATTCAGACACTCTTGTGGGAACAATCAAGTGCTCCATGGCAGCACTCTTGAATGGCACTCTTATCCGCAACAAATAGGCAAATTGGTCCATGAGTCAAACAGCTTTGGCAGTGTTGGCCCCCTAGTGTGACAGGTGATTTGGGCTTCCTGCATATATATGTAGGCTCTGGATTTGCCCTCAAGGGACCCTTGAACCCACGCAAAAGGCCAAGGGTCCAAATTGTGTGGGGCCCATACTTCAAACCTTAGATTGTAACCATTGCATAAACGCAATGGACAAGAGATGTTGCTTTGTCCTTCAGCATGACCTGCCAGTCGCGCTTTGGATCACGATCCATTTGCCCTTATTGCTTTGAGTGCAGTCAGGTTGTCCGAGTTGATGACATCCTGAAGATGGAGGGAGTCCTGCCAACGCACCAGGATCTGTGGGACTCTGGTATGTTGGCTTCTCGGCTTAACATTTCATCTGAAAAGTAGAACCAGCATCCACAAGAAAAGTTCGTCCAATTGAACGAATTTAAGTGCGCACTTCTGTGGATCTTTACCAGAGGCATTTGCCCAAATTCCCCAGGTTGAGCACAAGCCGCACTTCCTGACCATCTTCGTGCCCTGGCCGAGCAGCATCACTTGCGAGTCAAGCAGTTTTGCATCAGTTGATGTGGAATGATGGTGTTTTTTTACCTTGCGGCCCTGTTTGACCTAATGAGCATGACCGCAAGTAGAAACAATCAAGGTCTTCGTAGAGTTACATCACGGCAGTCCGGCAAGCGGGGTTTGGGTGATAAGTTGGAGCAGAACTTAACTCCGGTCAGAGAACAAGATGGCTTTAGCATTTAGGCGACATTTGGGCGGCAACGAGCTGTATTGCTGATGCCGGCAAACGTTCTCAGCCCAAACATCTTTCTAGTCCATTCGTAGATAGGTGCAAGAGTAGACCTACCTGTCAACAGAATGGAAGCACATTAAGGTCCGCTTTTGCTGAAACTTTAGCTTGTCAGGTGTCACACCAGTGGCTGGGAAACGCACATCCAGATCCGCAGGCGCCGTTGCTTTGCTTCCTCTGCCGCATGGTTTGGGGATGCTTGTGACTTTCTTGTCTGTGGGCTTTCAAATTTTTGGCCGGGAGGGCCCCTCCTTTACGATGCTTACCGTGCAACCTGCAGGGTTCATGCTCTTCATAATCGGGAACCCCTCTGAATCTCCAGCTGCCAAAGCACCTCCGAAGCACTGACCGGGTTCATCGACTTCTCCTGCGCATTCTGTCAAGGCATGACCCAGTGATTCCCTGGTACCCTCTTTGCACGCAAGAAGCGGAAGCATGCGCAAGCCAATTGTGGCAGGGAGTCCAGCTGCGGACTCTCCAGCAGGCGCTGCGCAATCTCATGAACGGGTGCCTACAGGCTGGGTTTCGGACTCGGGTCAAGGAGGGGTCGGAGTTGGGGGTTGAAGATTTTTACAGATTTGTACGAAATTGGGCGTCGGCAAGTTGAGGCGAGCCGTTGTTCAATCTCCAGGAGGCGTGCAAGTTTCCATTTAATCATATGTGGCTAGCCTGTGAGGACTGGCTGAGAAGGAGGTGTCTTCATGTGTAGACAGGTGGCAGCTTCAGTGGAGCTTGCTGAGATCTTTTCGAACCACGTCCGAACTCAAGCGTGTTGTAGAACTTTGTGTTTGAGATGAAGCTTCGTAGTTCTGTGCAAGCTGAACGATTCTCAAGTTCCCAGGACCCACAAGATACCGCCACGAGCCTTGCTAGGTTGAAGCCGACCTCATGGCGCAGTTCGACTTGAGCTCTCGCAAGCTGTCACAAGCAGAGAGGGAGGACTTGCGAAGTGCCTGCGAAATCAGCTGTTTCGTTCAGGGCCTGGTGCTTTCTTATGCTCTAGAGGTGAAGGGTTCAGGATTGGTACTCGTACTCAGCCCACAATCTTCAGGTCCCAGTCGCAGCTCATTTGACAGGTGCTTACATCTGGCTGGATTGGCTGTGTGTTCCGCAGATCGGCGAGGGCGCATTGCCAGCAGAGGGACAAGAGGCGCGGAGTGCAAGTTGGACGATGTTCAATGATTCTCTGAACTTTAGAATCATATTTTAGGTGCTGGAAGGATAGAGAGGTGGTGGTGATAGTGCTGCAGGCAATCATAAACGTGATCCCTAGCCTGTGCCCTTATCAAGTTGTTACTGATATTTCAACAGTTCAGCCATCATGAGACTCACAACGTTTTGGGGCAACAAGCTAATTCATGCTGGCATGCTTCAGCGACATGAGTGTTCATCTGGGTGATAAGCATACAAGTGAGGCCCAAAAATCAATACGATGACATGGCAGTTGGGCACCCTCTGTTTCAACCCCCAGTTCAGTGAGTGGATGAGAAGAGCTGCCTTGCCCAGTTTTAAGCGAGAACGGACTACGGAGTCTGCTGACCGAGCCATGTTTGGGAGGGCATTGGAAATGAAACCTAGTGTTGTCTGGCTAGGCCACGGGTTGTAGCCTATCGCGCCGATCCCTCAGTCCTCCCTGTTTGTGAATGCATGAAGCAGTCCAGCACTCTCGCCTCCAGGTGAGCAAGAACTACTTGTGCATTCGGTCAATCCCGTTTTACGTGGATTCGTGCGATCTCTTCATTGCCTTGGTGCCCACGGCAACCCATGCCGAGTCGGGTTCAGCATGCGACTTCAGCACGTGGCTCTCTCGAGGTGGGAGGGTTACTCAAGTGTGGGAGGGAGGCTATGGCTAGCAACGGCTAGCAACGGCTAGCAGCTATCCAAGGCTATAAACAAGCAGCATCTGCGCGGGGTGACGGACCATCAAAACGCGAGGTTTTCAGAGACTCGGGGGGTTTGTGTGCTTAACAGGATGGTGCCGCACGGAGATGTGGTGCAAGCTGCTCTCTGCTGGCCGCCGGGTGCCCATGATTGTTGTGACAGCTGCGGACAATGCCGAATTCTGCCACCCACTCCGTTGCTTGCAACTTGACAGCCCTAATTCCAGATTGTATGTGGAACCTTCTTCTAATTTCTCGTTTGCCCAAGTTAAGATTGCACTACGAGTTTTGTTATGTTGGTTGCCAGGCAGTCGCCGGTGCATTTGGGGTCCTTCGCTGTGGAGGCAGACCGACAGGAGTGCTGCAGGATTGTTCATTGTGCGCTGAACTTCAAGCTAGAGGAGCTAGCGGGGACCAACGACCTGAATCTTTACAGGTATTTTGCCGCTCGATACGAGGATTTGCTTGGTCAGCCGCGCGTGGAGAGAAGTCTGGATGATTTCCTCTCTCACTTCAAATTTGTCTCTCTGGAGCAGGCCGCAAACCTTACAAGTGGTATGAGTGGCGCGGCCTGTGCAGCCCTCGCTGGTGATGTGGCCATGCTGCGTCGGCTGGTGCAAGCTGGAGGGCGCTTCGATGAGAGGCTGCCGGCCATGCGAGATCCTTATTGCTTCGATTCAAAAGGCTTGCTGCCTTCGGGATTCTGCAATACCGACGGGGCTGTGCAGGAGATCTTGATGCAGCCAGGGGCGGACGCAAATTTGGACATGTCCCCGGGCAGGAGCGCGTCCCTGAATGGTCTCTGCTTTCCAGGCGCATTTCCTGAGGCAGTGGGGAAGCTCCCCAAAAACCAGGGCGATGTGAATTTTTTCAAGGACGGCATCCCGAACTTCGGGCAGGCTCTGAACGAAAAATCCTGACAGCATTTTGCGTTGGAGTTTGTGTATCTTTCACATGTGCTCTCAGATGACATGCCATCGACACCAGCTAGGTTTTGCCTTCCTGGTGTGCTGGTGGACTGCACCTTGGACTGTAGTTGAGAACTTGACTTTGCTACACCTGTAGCACCAACATCTCACAGGAAATGGTTAGATTGACGCATGTACTGGCAGACGACCTCAAAGACTTGCTTTTGACTCTCACTGCCTGCATCCTAAGATCTGACCATCAGACATTTGGTGACCTATCAGTTGAAGATAGAGAGGGCGGCGCAGCACTACAAGCCAGGATGGGAACAACTGCAGTAGAGCAGTGAGAGCCACTTAGTTAGAGGGCCTGCACCCCTTTGCTCTGAAATACAGCAATGAGGGAACGGATGCAAGACATTAACTTCGGAGGACGCATGCCTGAAATTCAAGCCGGCAAAGAGTCAGTATTGCTAGACGATCCTGCTGCGAGCTCCGTTTACAAATTGACTACTCATGAACACGGATAAATCCTGCCACATGTGTCGAAAACACCAACCACTCACCTGGCCAATGATATGTGAAAGACTTGAGGCACAGGCTGGCTGTGGCGCGTCTGCTCAGTTCGAGGGCTGATGTCAACCTCAGGCGCAGGGGAATGGGTTCAGTTCAAGGTCAAAGGCGCAGAGCGGCAGAATTCTTTAGAGGGCAACAGGCGCGGCACCTTGACTTGCTCATCCATGGCTATCATGAGGGTATTACGCCACGAGCTCTCGGACATCACATGCACTTGCTGAACTCCGCACATCTCTCAGTCGGGGGGTCTAGAGTACTCGGCAGCCCAGAGACCCCAAATTCCTCAGCATTTCCTTGCCACAATTTCTAGTCTCACCGCCGTTGCACCAGGCACAGGGCCAGAAGAATATATCGCGGTCAGGACCTGGTTGCAAGCAGTAGCGCTCATTGTCCTGAAGCCGCCACCCAAGACGACAACCTGTAAAGCCTACATATCCAAATTATGTTTAGGGGCCCTACATCTTGAATGGAGCAAGACTGAGGACCAACGCTTGGGTGCAGGATTTCAGGACACAGTCTTTTCAAGCTTTAACGGAAGACGAGCCTTGGTAGTCTTGGTAGCGTAGCTCATGCTACCACTTTTTTGGCAACGTGAACGTGGGCCAGGCGTATGTGTGGGGCACAATGTGCATGGATGGGAGTGCAGTTGCCTCATATTCAAGAAAAGCAGAACCTTCAGTAACCAGGTGACCGGCTAAGCCCGCAAATGCTGATTTCCTAAGCCTGTAGGCCTAGAAGCCTGGGATACGCAGCCTTGAACCTGAAGTCCAAAGCACTTGTCCAGGAGATCTTCGCCCGCTTCTGCATGAGGGTCCTCCAGGAGCCTCGAGCTGAATCCTCGCATCCAGTCCCCCTCAACCTGGAATGTTGATGATTAATCAACGTTCTCATTGCCCCACAATTTGCAGTGCAACTAGAGGTTTTCAATCTGGGTGCTTGATCCTAAAGGAGGCTGCTTGCTTCGAGGTCCATAGCAATCGGGTTGTTGTTAAAGAACTGTGATTCAGCTACAGTGCAGAATCAAATTGCAAGGGACGTGGAAAAGTAAATGGAAACTAGCTTCCCACCGTGAGACCTCAGCTTGCACCAGTTGTGGCCGGGCGCCTTGGCATTGAATTCGGACGGAACCCTACTACACCGACTGAAGCTAGAGCTATATCGATAACTTTCGAGCTGGACATACAGTATGTAGATAAATTACATAGCTTTGTTGAATCTTCCTTCAATCGAATCCTACAGAGCTCCGAAACGGACCGTAGTCTGACATAAGGAGCCACCTTCACTGCTGATGTTGGTGTCCACCACACCACAGCCTCAGGGATACACTGCATTGCTGGCCATGAGCAGGCGATACTTTGCTGCATTGGTCAGTTGGATGTTTATTTCCTGAGCTTTTGCTCGGGTCAACTCGGAATTGCTCTGGCGAAGGGACAGAGCTCCACCCTGTGCTTTCTGCGTTGCATTTCCTAAGCTCTCCTCCTTGATGCAAAGGCACAGTCAGACCACACCGTATGCACCAAGACGCACTGAGATGTAGACATCATCAAATCAGCTGAAGCCACGGACGTGCGAAACAGAACTCAGTACTAGTCCGTTGAAGGCTATGTGCAAAGCAGAAGGGGGCCTCCCTTTTCTGCTTTGAAAGGAGCAGGTGATGCGTGCATTCCTGTGCACGAATCCGTTTCCGTGGTGGTGAACCCCGTTCTCACCTACGATGGAGGGGCCGGTCTAAGTACACTGTTGCAAGAAAACTGCGGTGACAGCCGAATACATCCGTTGAGCTCTCAGGAGCCATGATTTCCATGAATTTTCAACTTTTGGTGAGGTGGTTTTATATCCGCCAACCATGTTCTTGGCTTTAGCAGGCAAGACCATTGCAGGAAGTCCTGGAGGTTTGCAGGAACGTCAAACTATATATGGCGCATGTTCAAGGTCTATGGGCAATCTCCCTTATCAAGACCAGGGCTCATCTTCCAGCACATGGCTTAGGCCTGCAATATACATTCCCAAATTTCGTTTTCTTTCGGTGCAGAAAGGCAGCTCTCTCGGGTGGATGGGGCTGTCCGAAGACTCAGCCTGGCCTTTCAAGTCTGGGTTGCGAAGAAGAGGATCCCACTTCGTAGAGGGTATGTGTTTTGAAGCTTGGCTGATGGTGTGGGGGAGGTAATGCTTGCGCGAAGTCTTGACGTGCTTGCATGAGAATGTGCAACTTTTTCTCGGCCCTGGCCGCAATAATCTCCGCCCAGCTCGGGCTTAGGCCCGTCACTGGGAGCATTTAAAGCCGTCGTCAATGGAGGTGTGGGCAGACCAGAGGTTCACTCCTGCACCCTTTTGCTTCAGTAGTGTTGTGGCTGCTGGCCATGCAGACAAGAAACCTCTAGCATGGTATTGCATGAATGGAGGATGCCTGTAACAGTTGATGTGTTCAAGCTCTCTAGCGAATTCCCATCAGCAACCCTTTGTTGTTTACCTTGAGTGGCGCTGAGCATCGCTGAGCGCATACAACCTTGCCTTTCCCGAGCAGTAGAGGCTCTTGTACGATGTGCCAACAAGCTTGCTTCCGCCTCCAGCCTTTCCCGGCAGGTTTCTCCAAACATGCACCTTGGGTTCTGAAGGGCTGCCTTACGCCAGGTGACCAAGGAGTCTGCTAGCCCACCTAAGCCAACCCAAGACAGCCGGAGCCTTGTGACAAGAACGTCACAACAGCCATCCTGTTCAACCCCAGAGTTAGTTGGAATCGAGCTCCACTTGGTTCGTCCGTCAGCTGGATTCGCCAGCATCTTCAGAAATCCCATGGTGTGCTTGAGAAGCCCAGAGCTGCGAGATGTGATGCTGTAAGAGACCACCGCGTGTTTGGCGTGCGTGATGAAAATCATGTGCGAATGCTTGTTGAAAAGAGGCCCACCTCGCAAGGCAGCTGTAAGGCTTAGGAAAATGGGTTCAACATCGGCATGTCAGCATTTGGCAGCTGAATGAATCTCTCAGAATCTCTCCTAATCCTACAGGATATTGTGGTTGCGGTAGCTTGGCTGATGACTGCAGTGCTCGAGTGTGGACACAGAGAGCGAGCCCACTGTGTTTTACATTTTTGTCTGGCATTGTTGCTCTTGGGAGGACTTCGGTCGGCGGGCAGCCCTGGGCTACTTCCTCTTGTGGCTCATAGGCTCTTTGGCGAGCTCACAGAAAGTGGTTTCCAAAAGAGAATCAGTGGTGGGAATCCTCAACATACTTTCTTTTGTGTCTACATGGCTGCACGGGTATGGAGCGAGCCCTCTGAGGGGATATGTTGGTCATGGTCAGATGCACATACCTTGGCTTTCTGCATGCGCGCAGGCAGTATCAGCTCCTCGGTGGGACCGTTGAAGCTAAGTGAACATAAGCCCTGAACACCCGACTGCCAATCCAAAATCCAATATCCCGAATCCTTCAACCTCGGCCGCTAAGCCAAGCCACAACTCAGCTGCAAAACTTCCCGCGCTGTCTGTTGATTCAGGATTTTGAATCCAGTTTGCTGCCATAATCTTGACAATTCGTGTTGTCATCCTTGCTTGCCACTAAGCCACAGAGAGAGCCAGTGGAGAGCCCCAAATCAGGCCTCTTCCTCTCGCTAGCCCACGCCGTGCGCCAGAAGCGCGCATGCCAGGCTTTCCACCGGAGGCGGGCATTCTTCCGCGGCTTCCCAAAATTGGGATTGGGATTGAGGGTTTGGTGTTTAGGGATATTATCCCCACACAATGATGGAGAATCAAATGGGAAAGGGCATGGAAACTAAGAGTATATAGGTGTTTAGAGCGATGAGGGTTTTCCCAATAGAGGATCCTTTCTTGCAAATCCCAATAACTCCATAACAAGGATTGGAATACTTTGGGAACTCCCATTTGGGCCCTAGGGAGTCACTTCACGATTCCTGCCTTGCACGTGCACGGAAGAGGCATCCCTCTCTGGCAGAGTTTGCGCTCAATCTGGAGGGCTTTCCCCCCAGCGCCACCAACGAGGACATGGCGTGGACAAGAAAAAT